AATATTTGCCACGAAAAAGAATCATGAAGAACAATGCTAAGGTAGAAGGAAAAGAACACTGCTCAATTTTGCTTTAGAAACCTCACTCTTATTAGAAACAAAGAAGGTAAATTGGAATGATGGAAGACTGAAGTCATGTTAGTAAGGATGCTGTTAACATTGCCCAATGAAAACTACTGAAGACATTCCCTCAAGGCACTGGTAACAGGAAGAGGAAACTATGGATTACTAAAAGGTTAGGACAGAGTATATGAGACCTAATGGATGATTGGATATGGGGAATAAGAAAAGGAAAAGAGAATGACTTTTGGTGCTTAGGAAGAGATATAATATAGGAATTTGAATTCCTGGATTTCACACAATTCATATTATCACTTTACTGATCTTCAATTCCATATCCAAATACTTGTATTTTTCCTACTCTTTTTCACTGATCATTTTGCTGTGTTAGATAATTTTTTAATGGGCATATCAGGGCTGTTATCACTGGCATATCAGTTTTCAATTTCATATATGCTTTATCATCCCTTTTTTCTGTTCTAATTTAATAGCGCCATTTAATGTCACTCATTTTATTTATCTCCATGCTTACAAATAAAATTGATATACTGCTGCTACCTACTAAAAAGCTTCAAGTAAGTGTATTTACAGTGAATTGAATGGTGATGTAATAGTGCCAAGATAATATAGTTAACTTTCTCAGATATCAATGAATTCACTACAAAAGTGAATCCTTTTAGAAGAATTGTTTGCATTTGTTGATTTATTTCTTAAGACTGTACTCAATTCAATCGTTATTTTTTTGATTATTGACTATTTCTCAGACTAAGTAGTATAACCTGGAAATAAACAATTTAGGCTATTCCCTTCACACACGTCACAAGCAATTTTACAGAATCCCTTTCACCTCTCAGATACTGTGATAGATAGATAGATTTGTAGGGCAACAAATGACTTTAGCATCTAGTAAGTAAAATTAACAGATTAAGAAAAAACCATGGATATAAAAATATATGGCAACATACTCAAAAGAAAGGATTCTCCTTGAGTCTTTGTATGGCATCACATATTATTAAATTCTTCTGATCCTGTTATGAACACTAATATAGTTTAAGTAAACATATCCTAAATGTTATTTCAATACTCTATGTATTTTTATCACAATAGCATATTGAAGATATATTTCTTGCTTCTGCCCTCTTAAAGGTGGTTTATTTGTTTTTTTTTTTTTGTTTTTTTTTTTTTTGAAGTAAGCACAATAGCTATTTATTACTTTTTAAACACACAGTTTGCTGCAATGTCTTTAGCAGTGTTTGTTCAATAAACGCATAATGCTTTCTAAATCATCTCAGCTTATGTTTTTTCTTTGAATTGTAATACATTCTGTCTTTTCTTAAAGCAATCTGCTGTCCCCTCACTTCCCAAGGCTCAGCTTTCCATGGCTTACCTGGTGCTCTGAGACAAGAGGTTGTATCTTTGTTCTGTGTGGCCTGCCCTGCACAACTGTGGGAAATGCAATCCCATGTAGACTTGCCATAGTTAGTCTCCTGTCCCGTAAGCCAGGAGACAAACTGTTTCAGAGTGGCAGTTACCAAGACCACGGCTGCTCTCAATTACTTTGCTTAGCTTTCTTTTTCTCTTCCTTTCCCCATCTCCTCCCTCCCTCCCTCCCTCCCTCCCTCCCTCCCTCCCTCTCTTCCTTCCTTTCTTTTTTCCCCCTTCCTTCATTCCTTGTGCTTAATAGCATTTGTTCTCCAAAATCCTCATTTAACTTCCAGAAAAATTACAGGCTGCTCCTGAGATCCACATGCCAGGCTTCTTGCCTTTTTTTTTTTTTTTTTTTGACAGGCAGAGTGTACAGTGAGAGAGAGAGAGGCAGAGAAAAAGGTCTTCCTTTGCCGTTGGTTCACCCTCCAATGGCCACCACGGCCGGCGTGCTGCGGCTGGTGCACCGCACTGATCCGATGGCAGGAGCCAGGTGCTTCTCCTGGTCTCCCATGGGGTGCAGGGCCCAAGGACTTGGGCCATCCTCCACTGCACTCCTGGGCCACAGCAGAGAGCTGGCCTGGAAGAGGGGCAACCGGGACAGAATCCGGCGCCCCAACTGGGACTAGAACCCGGGGTGCGGCGCTGCAAGGCAGAGGATTAGCCTAGTGAGCCGCGGTGCCGGCCGCCTTCTTGCTCTTTCTCTGGTGACATGTGGACGTGTCAGCTATTTATTGGGAAAAGGAGAATAAGTTCTGCTGTTTTTATTTGCACAGTCCTTTAGTCTCATAGAACTTTTTCTTTCCCTTTCTTAAAAGTTAGAACCTTGAGAACTTCAGCTGAGTTTAAAATTGTGTACGTTTAGTCAAGTAGTGACGGTGTCCTTGTAATGTGTGGTAGTTGCCTATTCATTTGCAGAATTTTGGTCTCTTTGGCCTTCAGTCAAGTTAACCACCAGCTTGCAGCTGATAACGCTAAAGAAATAAAAAAGGCTCATATCTTATAAGGTTGGCATGAAGTTCAGGTGTCCAAATTCTGCAAGATGTAACTAGAACAGTTGTTCTCAAAGTGTGTTCCAGACCATGACAGCAACAGCTGGGAACTGGGAGACGTGCAAATTCTCTGCCCTACCTCTGACCCGCTGAGTCACAAAGTGGAATTTGTGTGCTAACAGCTTTCCAGGTGTTCCTGATGCCTCTTCAAGTTTGAGAAATCCCTGGGCCAAAGTCTTGATGGACTGGAAACAGATGAGCTATTTGCAATATCAAACACAAGGCTATTTCAAAAAGTTCATGTAAAGCAGAATTAAAAGTTAAGTTCATTCAGGTCCACACATTTTTTGAAATACATGCATAATTCATAATATATATTTTCCATGAACTTTTGAAGATTCTTGGAGGATCTTTGCTGACCCCTTCTTGACTTAAGGTGGATTTTCCTGGGAAGATCTAACACATTATGTTCCTCCAGGAAGATCTAGTGCATTCCAATAAAGGTGGTTTATTTGTTAATCTGTTTTCTGTTAAATTCCCAAAGTCTAAAGTAAAATAATTTCTAAACTTAGTAAAATGATTTCTACACTTTCACATATAATAAACATTCTTATGATTTTGGCTAACAAATACTCAGCAATTTCTCTTTTGGAGAATGTTTTTTAAGTAGCATACAAGTTCATTTACCCTATGAATACCTAAAGAAATAGTGATGGCAAATTAACAAGGGAATATAATAGCATTATAATTTAATTTTAAGTTTATACCTATGTGGAAATCAAACAAGAGAAAATAATGTAAAAGCTCTTATTGTCACTGAAAAGAATGAAAGATGATGGTATAAGCAGAAAGATGCTCATTTAATTAGTAAAGACTTGAAAACTGAAGAATGACTCAAGAAAACTAATGTTGAATATGAAAAATATATGTAAAAATCTACTTATTTGGAAATGTTTATAATATTTTTAAACTTGTACCAGATTTGCATTATTTTTAAGCATGTAGGAAATTTTCATTTAATATTAAACACATTCTTGGAATTATATAACATGCTATTGGAACCTAGCAGGATTCTGTCTGGCTCAGAAATCTTAGCAAGACTTACAGGTTTGGTGAGGTGAAGTCTGTACAAATAACAAAAAGGAATAGCCTGGTTAAAATACAGCAACCACAAAAGCTGGATTTCTGAGGCAGATATTTTCAGGTTGCTGAGTCTTAGGCCAAGTAATTTCTCTACCTTCCAACTCTGTATAGCAGGAATGGGGCTACATATTTTATGGGAATTAGTCACTTTGAAATCCTTGTTTGTGCTCTCCTGTGTGGCAATTCTATATACATCCATTGCAGATCTTAACTTGGAGGAAGATGGAAATTTGTGGATATGATGTGGTCAGAATACAAAAGAAAGTACATGCAAAGTATATGAATTACACTTTGATTTGTTAATTGCTAGAGGTTACATTACAGAATAGTCTGTAGTTTACTTAAAAACATTTAAGCTGTTTTTAAAATTCAAGTTACTCCAATTGTCTTATTTAAAATTTAAATTCCAGGCTGGCACAGTGGCTCACTAGGCTAATCCTCCGCCTAGCGGCGCCAGCACACTGGGTTCTAGTCCCGGTCGGGGTGCCGGATGCTGTCCTGGTTGCCCCTCTTCCAGGCCAGCTCTCTGCTGTGGCCCGGGAGTGCAGTGGAGGATGGCCCGGGTCCTTGGGCCCTGCACTCCATGGGAGACCAGGATAAGTACCTGGCTCCTGCCTTAGGATCAGCGCAGTGCGCTGACTGCAGCATGCCGGCCGTGGCAGCCATTGGAGGGTGAACCACCGGCAAAGGAAGACCTTTCTCTCTGTCTCTCTCTCTCTCACTGTCCACTCTGCCTGTAAAAAAAAAAAAAAAAAAAAAAAAAATTTTTAAAAAAATTTAAATTCCATTAAAGCACCTTTATAGTTTTTATTTTTTCTTTTTAAATTTTTATTACTATAAACAGATTTCATGTATTTCATAGATAAAACTTAAGAATATAATGATACTTGCTAACTTCCCCTCTCCTCCTTCATTTTTTTTAGTTTTTTTTTTTAACTTACTGCAATGACATACTTTCGATTAACGTGTATTCATAGACTTAATGCCCCCACTAAATAAAGAGTTCAAGTAAACAGTAGAAAGACCACTCTTCTGCAGATATATAGTAAAGGACTGTAAACAAGTCACATGTTAATTTCACTCATATACATTAAGGTTTTGTTTTCTGTTTATTTGCTTTAATGCAGCTTCTTATTTCTATGTGCTATTCCTTTTAGTCCTTACCCTAATCCTTACACTAGGAATAAACATATAAGGTTTATCATGTGTGTCATGATGCGGAAACTGAAAGTTTAAGAGGCTTTAGTAACTTTACAAAAATTACATGGCTAGAAAGCAATGGAACCAAACTTAGAAGTCTAGCCTGTATAAGAAATAAACCAAGGCTCCCTGGACTATAACATTCTTCCAACCTGTGATCCTATTTATTCTCTTTTTCAGGAATTATTTTGGAGAAAAAATTGGTATCTATTTTGCCTTTCTTGGATTTTACACAGAAATGCTATTCATTGCAGCTGTAGTTGGCTTAGCTTGTTTCTTTTATGGCTTAATGTCAATGCAAGAAAACCTAAGTAGGTAAGTACCACTGAGTTGTCCAAAGAGAAAAAAAATGTGTCTTTTATCTTAAATGAAACTACTACTATTATTTCCTTGACATTTGTCTCAGAACATGTCCTGAGGGCAGCAGCTAATTGATACTTCTGAAAAAGACCCAAATTTAGTGCCTGCTCCTCCTCAGTGCTTTATTGAAAATGTCTTTAATGATGGGCCCTACAGATTAAAAATATTCAAATATTCAAAACTACTCAAAATATGGCCCTCTACTGAAACTGCTGCTTCCTTGCTTGTTCTGTCATATATCAGAGACCGTATAAACTGTCACTTTGATAGTAGCTTAGATGTTCTGCCAAACAAAGGTATTTTTAAAGTATCTTTACTGTTTCCACAATAGCATTGAAATCTGTGACCCAGAGATTGGAGGTAAGCTGATCATGTGTCCTCTCTGTGACACATTGTGTGATTTTTGGAGACTAAATTCTACATGCTTGGCATCAAAGGTATGTATAACTTGTGCTATATTGGAAAAACTTAGGATTTCCTTCTCTTTGTATTGTATTTGATATTAAGTGGTCTTTGTGACATTATTATTATTTTTTCAGTTTTCCCATTTATTTGATAACGAGTCAACAGTGTTCTTTGCAATATTCATGGGAATTTGGGGTGAGTACATAGTCTATTTTTTTTTAACTTTTATTTAAAGAATATAAATTTCCAAAGTACAGAATATGGATTACAATGGCTTCCCCCCCCATAACTTCCCTCCCACCCGCAACCCTCCCCTTTCCCACTCCCTCTCCCCTTCCATTCACATCGATACATTTTCAATTCTCTTTAAATACAGAAGATCAGTTTAGCATATATTAAGTAAAGATTTCAACAGTTTGCACCCACATAGAAACACAAAGTGAAAAATACTGTTTCAGTACTAGTTATAGCATTAAATCTCAATGTACAGCACATTAAGGACAAAGATCCTACATGAGGAGTAAGTGCACAGTGACTCCTGTTGTTGACTTAACAAATTGACACTCTTGTTATGGCCTCAGTAATCACCCTAGGCTCTTGTCATGAGTTGCCAAGGCTATGGAAGCCTTTTGAGTTCACCAACTCTGATCATATTTAGACAAGGTCATAGTCAAAGTGGAAGTTCTCTCCTCCCTTGAGAGAAAGGTACCTCCTTCTTTGATGACCTGTTCTTTTCACTTTTTGTTTTGTTTTCTCAGTTTTTTTTTTTAACATTTATTTAATGAATATAAATTTCCAAAGTACAGCTTATGGATTACAATGGCTTCCCCTCCATAACGTCCCTCCCACCCGCAACCCTCCCCTTTCCTACTCCCTCTCCCCTTCCATTTACATCAAGATTCATTTTCAATTCTCTTTATATACAGAAGATCAGTTTAGCATATATTAAGTAAAGATTTCAACAGTTTGCACCCACATAGTAACACAAAGTGAAAAATACTGTTTCAGTACTAGTTATAACATTAAATCTCAATGTACAGCACATTAAGGACAAAGATCCTACATGAGGAGTAAGTGCACAGTGACTCCTGTTGTTGACTTAACAAATTGACACTCTTGTTTATGGCATCAGTAATCACCCTAGGCTCTTGTCATGAGCTGCCAAGGCTATGGAAGCCCCCTGAGTTCACTGACTCTGATCATTTTTAGACAAGGCCATGGTCAAAGTGGAAGTTCTCTCCTCCCTTCAGAGAAAGGTACCTCCTTCTTTGATGACCCATTCTTTCCACTGGGATCTCACTCGTGGAGATCTTTCATTTTTTTTTTTTTTTTTAAATTTTTTTTTTCCAAAGTGTCTTGGCTTTCCATGTCTGAAATACTCTCATGGGCTTTTCAGCCGGATCCGCATGCCTTAAGGGCTGATTCTGAGGCCAGAGTGCTGTTTAGGACACCTGCCATTCTATGGGTCTGCTGTGTAGCTCACTTCCCATGTTGGATCGTTCTCTCCCTTTTTTATTCTATCAGCTAGTATTTGCAGACACTATTCTTGTTTATGTGATCCCTTTGGTTCTTAGTCCTATCATTATGATCAATTGTGAACAGAAATTGATCACTGGGACTAGTGAGATGGCATTGGTACATGCCACCTTGATGGGATTGAATTGGAATCCCCTGGTATGTTTCTAACTCTACCATTTGAGGTAAGTCAGCTTGAGCCTGTCCCAAATTGCACATCTCTTCCCTCTCTTATTCCCAGTCTTATATTTAACAGCGATCACTTTTCAGTTAAGTTTCAGCACTTAAGAAGAATTGTGTATTGATTACAGTATTCAACCAAAAGTATTAAGTAGAACAAACAAAAAAAAATACTAAGAGGGATAACATACCAAGTTGCTCATCAACAGTCAGGGTGAGGGCTGATCAAGTCACCATTTCTTATAGTGTTCATTTCCTTTTAACAGGTTTCTTTTTTGGTGCTCAATTAGTTGTCACCTATCAAGGAGAATAAGTGGTATTTGTCCCTTTGGGATTGTACATAGTCTATTAAAAACAGCTTTCTCCATATTATGTGTGATGCAGCTCTGCCATGTAACTTGGACAGATGTGTATCCACCCTACCAGCAGTTAGGGTCTTTTCTGTTCAGTGCATTGATAGAGTCCACATGACCGATCTTTGGTCTTTGATCCACAAGTGTATCCAAGACATCTGCTCCTTTCTGTAAGAGATAGTATAACACTTGCAATATCAAATGTTTACACTCACACTGTCTCCCAGTGGCACAGGAAAAAGAGGCTCTGAAAGTACTGAAATCAGGAGAAACCAAATATAAACATGTGGTGAATGGAGGATAATGAGTCATTGATTTTTAAGCTGAAACAATTATCAAAAATTAGGGCTGGCATTGTGGTGCAGTGAGCTAGGCCTCTGCCCATGATGTGGAGCAACAGTTTGAATCCCGGCTGCTCCGCCTCTGATCCGGCTCCTGCTAATGCACCTGGGTAAGCAGTGGAGGATGTCACAAGTCTTTGTGCCCTTGCACGCACAAGGGAGACCCAGATAGAGTTCTTGGCTCCTGACTTTGACAAAGACCAGCCTGGACTTTTTCAGCCATTTGGGAGATGACCCAGTGGATGCAAGATAATCCCCCCACCACGCATCGCTTCTGCCCCCACCTCCTAGTCTCCTGTAACTCTGCCTTTCAAATTAAAAAAAAAAATTTTTAATTAAAAAAAAAAGACAACAGAAACTGTTGAGGACTACAAAACAGCTTTTTAGAGTTCCCATATATGGTACTATTTCTAGATCCAAGTTCCTGCTTTATTTGTTTAAATTTCATGCATAGAGTTCACCTTAATTTTAGAAATGCTGAACCAGTTACTTCATTTTTTTCATTTCCAGTGGAAAATTGAGTGCCATACAGTTGTTAGTTTTGTCAGGGAGCAGAAAAGTTTCTCTAAGGATAGTTCATCAGTAGGGGTCTTAAATATATACACACACTTGGGAACTCAGGAGAAAATAGGCTTTTTCCTTTCCAATTACAACAAGCATATCTAGGAGTCAGTGTTTGGCATTGCAGTTAAGACATTACTTAGGACAACCCATCCCATATTGGAATAGCTGGTTCAAGCCCTGACTTTGCTTCCAAGCAGCTTCCTGTTAAGCACAACCTGAAAGATAGCAGCTGAAGATTCAAGTGTTTGCGTCCCTGCTACTTACACGAGAAACTCAGATTCAGTTCCTGGCTCCTGACTTCAAACTAGCCCAGCCCCAGAAGTTATAGGTGTTAAGAGAGTGAATCAGCAAAAAGAAGACCTCTTTATTTCTGTCAGTCTCTCTTTCACATAAAATGGAAAAAAGCATATGTAATAAACACAAATATGTGCATTTCAAAACTAGGCAAGGATTGTTTTATCCATGTAAAAATATACCAAATTAGAGAGATATTTCTGTCATTTATGCTTGGCTGTTAGGATCTGAAGAGCAACTTAGATTCAAAGATAGACCAGAGAATGGAGAAATCTTACTAATACTATATCAGTAACCCCAGCTGTGATAAGTTGGTAAATGGGCATCTCTTCATCATAAGGCTGCCAATTCCTACTTCTATATTACTTGGAAAGAAAAATAAACATTACAGTCACAGATTGCAACAAATACAAGAGTTTGAAAAAATGTGCACCCACACTGTATTTGTGCAGGGAATTCCAAAATATTAATGAATAAATAGAATGTAAAAATAAGTATTTTGGTAAAAACATTTTTGAAATCCATGTATAGCTTTTTTCATAACACACATTTTTCATGATTTTAGAATAATATTCATTTACTTATTAGAGAGGCAGAAATAGAGAGGCAGACAGAATAGAGGGCTCCCATTTGTTGGTTGACTCTCCAAATACCTGCAGTGATTGAGGCTAGGGCAAGACAAAGCAGAATGCTGAGAATGCAGTCCAGGGCTGTCAAGCTAAAGCAAGCAGCCAGGAACTCCATCCAGGTCTCCACAGGAGTGATGGGGAACCGAGCACTTGGACCATTATCTCTGCCTTCCCAGGTGCATTAGGAGGAGCTTGGAGAGAACCAACACTCCGATAGCGGATGCAGGCATCCCAAGCATCACTTTAATCAGTTGCACCACAATGCCCATCCCCAGAATTATCAGTTTTTAATTTCTTTATTGTATTTTCATTTTTGTTGTCCAGTTACATATTTTGATTATCCATGTTTATAAAATCTTACATGGATTTATCATAGGGAGATAAGGAGACCCCACAAATACAGACTTTCTGGTCTGTGCATGAAGTTAATAGCAGATTTTGTGGTATCAATCACAAACAGACCTTTAAAGAAATGATGTGATTGAACACATCATGATGCATATGTACTTAATAGAAACTTGTGGACTGAAGAACTAACAGCCAAGTTTGTACTTTTATGCGATTCCATAGTAATAAATTTAAGTCACGTTGTTGAGGGACTGGTGTTATTTAACAATCTGTGGAAAGTGAAATTCATGCATATTGGAACCATTCTAAAATGATATAAAGGAAATATATGAAACTTATATAACAAATAAAGTATATTTAAAAAAAAAAAAAAAAGGAAAGGGAGGGCCGGCACCGCGGCTCAATAGGCTAATACTCCGCCTTGCGGCGCCGGCACACCAGGTTCTAGTCCCGGTCGGGGCGCTGGATTCTGTCCCGGTTGCTCCTCTTCCAGGCCAGCTCTCTGCTGTGGCTCGGGAAGGCAGTGGAGGATGGCCCAAGTGCTTGGGCCCTGCACCTGCATGGGAGACCAGGAGGAAGCACCTGGCTCCTGGCTTTGGATTGGCGCAGTGTACCGGCTGTAGCAGCCACTTGTGGGGGTAAACCAACGGAAAAAGGAAGACCTTTGTCTCTCTCTCTCTCACTGTCTCATTGTTTAGTAAAGAGTTGAGTTAAAATATCATTTCAAATTATCACAATGAACAGAGAGTAATATGCCTTAAAAAATAAACTTCCCTGGGCCACTGAGATTTGAACTTGAATTTTTATATGAATTTTTATATGAATTTCAGTTTCATTGTGCAGTATCATGCCAATATTCATAGTTGATCACTTTATTATCAAATATAACGGTGACAAACAGCCACCTGAAAAACGTGAACTCTCACGAAGCCAAAGTAGTTAAAGAAAGAAGTGGAAAAAGTTCTTATTAACTTCTTTTCTGCATCTTTTGATTATGCTTGTCTTTATACATTTCTTTGCTATAGTCACACTATTTTTGGAGTTTTGGAAACAGCGACAAGCCACATTGGAATACCAGTGGGACTTGGTGGACTTTGAGGAGGAACAGCAACAGCTTCAACTGAGACCTGAATTTGAAGCTATGTGTAAACACAGAAAAATGAATACAGTGACCAAGGTACATTTGGAAGCAGGGAAAGGAACGTTTTATTTCAGTGGACACTACTGCAGGTTGCCTCTCAACAAAGTATACTTTAATTTCCTGTAAAATATTTTCCAACATACAAACCATATAAATAGATAGAAGAGTATAATGAACTCCATGAATGGACGTGTCATCCAGCTTCAGTCATTTGTAGTTCATGGGCAATCTTGTTTCTTTTATAACCCCCCACTTCTTTTGGGTACTACACTATTTTGAAACAAAGCCAAGGTATTCTAGCATGTGCAGTTTTAATACTAAGGAGAAAAAAGGAAAATGGAAACTGGTGTGTATGCAGTGGGCTTTGTATGTAAATACATAGACATGGAAATGATATCGAGTTAATATACAAAAATAAAAATAGTTGTATTGAGGTAGTATATAAGTGATTGTTTTATTACATCAAATTTTCTTCATGTAGTCTTTTACAACTTATTATGGCTGGTAAGTCATTTCATTAGCATCTGGGGGTGGCAGGTAAAGTCTGGATTTCAGAATCCTTATCTGACAAACTGCCCATATGTTTTTGCCTGAGTTATTTGACTTCTTGGCATGGCAATTTACCACATGCAAATGGAAAGTACTTTGTCTTTAAAAACTAGCATCTTGAGTACACAATCTTGGGGTTCCAAGTTTTCCATATTCTATCATCATTGTGTTACCTGCTGTTATTGAAAGAATACAGTATGTCTCGAACACTGTCCATTTAGTAGAATTCCCTACTCTGTTAAGGACACTAATCTTGGTATAACACTCAAAATTCTTTCCACAACTTAGTCATTCACTGTAAATTTATTTCTTTATTATTTTCATTTTATTTGAAAGGCAGAAAGACAGAGAAACAATTCCAGAGCAATGCTATTCATTTGAATTCAATTAGAATAATATTGTAACATGATCAGATAATTCCCATTTAAGCAGCAAACCTCAGGTTTCGACTTTGTTTCTTATCTTTGTAGCCCAGAAAATCACTCTAATTCAACACTCAAGAAATAGCCTGTCCATTATGTCTCTTGTCATGTGTAAGACATCTCATCTGGGAGACCTGAAGGTTCCTACTTGTAGCAACCATTGCATGACTGTAGGCTCTACTTTGCTGAGCTGTATGATTTCGACTGCTGCTTGGAGCCCCAACTTTGATGGCAGGTGTTGAAGTTTTTTCTGATTTTTTTTCACTTTTACAGGAGATGGAACCTCATATGCCTCTATGGAATCGTATACCATGGTATGTTTTATCGGGAGCCACAGTGACGTTATGGGTGAGCATTTCTTTGAACACTGTTATAATCTCCTTAACAAGCTATTCTACAGAAGTATCTCAACAGTTTGGCCTGCAAGCACTCATTTTTTATTTTTTATTACTATAAAAAGAACAAATTTCATATAGTTCATAGGTACAATTCTAAGAATAAAATGATTCTTCCCTCCTTCCTTCCTCGTTCTTTTCTTTTAATTTTTGCAATAGCATAAAGATACATACAATAACTCTTAAGTTATTTCCTCTCCTGCCCCTTCCTGGTTTTTCATCTTGATTAAATTTCTTATATAAAATAAACTGTAATTTACATAGACTTTCTATAATTGAACTTTGAGGACAGACCTGGAGGAAGAGAATTGCTCCCAACATTTCATTAATTGATAACATGATTAAAACAGAACAACAAAATAACTTTGATCGCAGTCTCTGGTTAGTCTTAGAAAAATCATTAATTTATTTTTATCTCCACTTAAAAAGTCTGCCCAAAATGAATAATCAATTCATAAAATTGAATTTCATTCTCAATTAACTATGCAAAAAGTGTTTGTTTTGCCACTTGAATAATTTAATTAGTATATGCTTTTTTGAGAGAGTGAGTCATTTAGCTATTAGATTTCTCCTTCACTGTAGTCTATAACCTGCCCCTCACACACATACCTTTTCCAACTTTGTGCACTCCTAACACTTGGCTTTTAACTTTAGGAAAAGAGGGGTGTTGTTATTCTCTGAGGTATTAGCACAGAGAAGTATAAATAATTAATTATGTGGACTGTAGTTTGTCCTCACCAATACAATTTTTTCCATATTTTTATCTTTAACAATTCTTATTAAAACTATTAATTTTTAATCTTAGTAGATGTAGTAGAAATGTATTTTCTTAGATTACTTAGCAACTGTTGAACAGATGTGATAGAATAAAAAGAGAAGTAGTAATCAGTTTGGAATACTTTTTGAAAGACATGCTGAAATATGGTACCAGGAAGAATATTATGCTTTTTCATTTCTAGTTCTTAATCAGTTCATCTCAATTCCTCAACTTTTAGAATAAAAGCTTCCAATAATTGATATAAAGCCATTTTGTGCTTTTGTCATATGAGAAGTATGCAAAATTAATATAGAATCTATATAAATATTTAAGCTACCATGCATATCAAAGGACTAACAGGAACAATCTGAGGAGAAATGAAATACAATCTTTAAATATATTTTTCTTTGAAAAGTAAGTAATATTCATTCTAGCTGTTTAATTGTAACCTAGAGCATGGACTAGTAAACTTTTCTGTAAGGGGGTGAGGCATATTTTAGTCTTTGTACCATAAATATTTTCTGGCACATAGTTGTCAAATTTTTCTTTATAACTTTTAAAAATAAAAAAACAGTTTTTAACTTAAGAGCCATCCATATAAGGACAGGGATGCCCAATGTTTTGTCCATCTCTTGTAGAGGCTGGGCCTAGAGGACTTTACTGTTTTAAACTTAAATAGCTGCCCCCATATGCCTTGTTCTATTAACCCTTTTATCTTGCTAGTGTTCATTTTGTGCCATCTATGGTAAGAGAGAATGACTTGATTTGTTTTGCCTATGAAGGCTGCTAAACTTAATACAATGAGATGAAGAAAATAATAGGTGTTTCATATATATTTCATTACACACATCACACAGATGCAGAGACCATGGTGACCAATTCTTTGTTTCCCTTCCCCAGATGACTCTTGTCGTCGCCTGTATGGTAGCTGTAATTGTGTACCGCCTGTCAGTCTTTGCTACATTTGCTAGTTTTATTCAAAGTGAAGCATCCTTACAGCCTGTCAGAAGTTTTCTTACTCCCCAGTTAACCACAGCACTCACAGGATCATGCTTGAACTTTATTGTCATCTTGATCTTGAATTTCTTTTATGAAAAGATATCTGCCTGGATTACAAAAATGGGTAAGCTAGCCAAATCATTAATGTGACCCTGAAAAAAGGGTTCCTAATCATGCTATATTTTCATTTTGGATCATCTCCCAGGGAGTTAATTTTCTGTAGACAAATTTTAAGGCAGTTTTTCCTCTATGGGTAGACCTACAGACTGGTACTTCAGAGTCTTCTAACAGTCACACAAGGGCCCCTTATAATGGAAGCAGGAAGGAAAACCAAAAAAGAAAAAAAAAAATAATTACGACTCTGTAGACCTTTTTGAGTATTCTTGTCTTATCTTCCACTGATGGATTGGTATGAATCCTGAATATAACCTTCAGTTTTCTCAAAATGCAGGTAATTTTTACTTCATGTTTATAGTTCTTGAAAGGTAATTGATTTCAGACTTGATTATGAGGAAAATAGAACAATGAAGTCTTCCTAACTAAATTGAAAATATAGTGATTTCATTTTTTAAGTTGCTGTTTCTTAGCACCTGGGCGATTTTCTCATGATAGTATTAAAATTTCTGTTAAAGTCATGAGGGAAGGTGAAGGGGGTCATGGATGAATTGAAAGGTTCAACCAGGGAGAACAGCACAGAGCATAAGTGCTTCTGCTCTCGCCACAGACAAGTTAGACAAAGGATGGGAAATTTTACCTTAAGGTACAGTCTCTTCTCTAAGTGCCCTGTCTAGGAGCCCATGTTCCTCCTGTAACACTGCACTGACATCATGGCCAACAGTAAGCAAAAAGGGCATGTTCCTTACTCAACTCTCCGTTCTATACTATTTTTCAAATGTGGAGCCCTTCTCTGTTAGTTTTACGTCTTTTCTCTGCTGACAGCAGCAAGAAAGTCATAGCAGATAAACTGCTTTTGAAAGCACCTCAGAGTGCTAAGTCAGAGCTTTATTCAATGAGGAAAATCACTTAAGTTCACATTAGAGACTGAAGGCTTGCTTCTGAACTTCCCTGAAATGAAGTAATTCTCTGTGGCTCTGGAATAATGTGTGTCACTAGTTTGGTATTTCTGAAAATGCCATGATTTGGCTGCACAGCTCATACTGCTGGGAGATAGTAAGCTCGGAAAAACACATTCCCTTACTCTTTTGGGCTTTATGATAATCCAGTGCGGTGTGAAGAGAATTCAATATTTTCTTACCTTTAGAATTCATCAAATAATGAATAATGACCATGCATTTTAAATAGAGGAGAGGGAAAATGTGACATAATTCTGCCACCATTTAGCATCACACTGCTTTGAAAATTGAAATGGCCATTTAATTCATGAGAGGAAACACAACTCAGAAATCATTGCTGCCCTTGATATGAACTTAATTTTTTAAGCCCGATTGAGAACAATTAAGAGAGCACTGACATGCAATGTTTTGTATGTCTTAAATAGATTCTGTCTTAAATAGATTTGAATTCTACATCTGACTGTGTGACTCTCTGACAAGTATACTACCCACTCTCAATGTGATATTGACTGTTTTCTAGGCCCTTCCAGTGGTTAGATTAATACAGTTGTCATAATAAAAAGCACAAATCCTTAGAAACTTAATAGTGATCTGCCAAGACCAGAGTGAGGAGGATTTCTGCAGATTTTCAGAATAATATGGCTAGGTGTTTTCTTTGTCCTATGAAGTAGAAATTCAAAAAAAAAGAAAAGCATAAATTAACAAAACACACAAGGGATGGGTGTTTGGCCTAGTGGTTAAGACACTAGTTGAGATGCCCACATCTCATATTAGAGTGCCTTGGATTAAGTCCTGGTTCTGCTCCTGATTCCAGCTTCCTGTTAATACATACCCCAGAAGGCAACATGTGATGGTTCACATAGTTGGGTTCCTGCCACCCATGTGGGAGTCCTGGATTGAGTTCCCAACTCCTGGGTTCAGCCTAGTATAGCCACTGCATTTGCAGGCATTTGCAGAGTGAACCAGCGGATGAGAGCCTTCTCTGTCCCTCTGACTCACAAATAAAATTTTAAAATAAGTAAAATGATATCTTTTTCGAGTTTAAGAAAAACAGGATATTGCATTACACCTTGGTGTTTTTGATTTAACAGAGATTCCTCGAACTTACCAGGAGTACGAGAGCAGTCTGACCTTGAAAATGTTCCTGTTTCAGTTTGTAAATTATTACTCATCCTGCTTCTACGTGGCTTTCTTTAAAGGGAAGTTTGTGGGTTATCCTGGACAATACACATATTTGTTTAAAACTTGGAGAAGTGAAGAGGTAAGAATTCTGTTAAGAGGTGAGATATGTGATAGTAATAACTCAGTATTAACTGAATGTTTTCTGGGTGGTTAGCGCTAAACTCAGATGTGTTACCCAGTTGCAAGAAAAGTCTAGACACTGTCCACAGACAAAGGCTGCCATCTGATAAAGTTTCCAGGTCCTTTTGGTAAAGAAGTTAAGTTGTACCTATGATTTGGTGGTAAGCTATGAATTGTGAAATAAGTAATTTCCTTATTTCTGAAAGGAACTCCTGTAGAGAATGAACAATTACTCTATGGAAAATAGGCTGCACTGTGAGCTAAGGAGTTAGACTGGATCAGTGGTTTCCAAATGTGGTTGTACATACAAATCAAATGGAGAACATGCCAACTCCTAATCCTAACACAGATGTAAAGACTAAGAGTCTTATAAGAAAGCTAGAAATATGTGTTTGTCGCACAGTCCACAAATGAATCTAATGTAGCTATTCTGGCACCAGTTTATGATCATTCTTGGAACTTCTGGAGTAAATATCTCTGTAATCCCCTTAACGTCCCTTCTAACCAAAATCTTCAGACTCTAATCATTTGGATTAGAATTTCTTTTGGTTGTTGTAAAATTGCATTTTTTTCTTCTTTATCTTCTTTTTTTCTCCCCTTTTCCCTTTTCCTTTCTAATAGTGTGATCCTGGAGGCTGTCTAATCGAACTGACGACTCAGTTGACCATCATAATGACTGGGAAACAGATTTGTGGAAACATTAAAGAAGCAATTTTCCCGTATGTATAACTTGCAAGCTTTGGATTGATTTAAGTAACAATGAGGGAATTTTCTCTAAGAAGATAGAATTTTTTTGATTATCATAGTGCCTTTGTTGGAAAACAGTTAAGCCAATAAAAAAAATCTTGACTTTTAATCCACAGTGAAGGAGGCATTGAGGTAATACTGTCTTTGATTTATTTAATTAATTAACTTCCATAACTAAAGAAATTTAAAAATATTTTAATTGACATATAATTATATATATTTATATAGTGCAATTTTATATTTTAATACAAGTTTTAAAATATGCATCTCTATTGAGTGAGTCAAATTTAGGGACAAGTAATTATTCCCGCCTCCTATGATTATTCCACAGGGAAATCCAAATGTTATATCTTCTATAGGTGATAATACATGTTGGATGTGATTTCTCAAAATTACTAAAAGTTAAATTTTTAAAAACTATTTTGCCAAGTCATCTAGGCATAAAAATTGGTTGTGAATGAAATACTGAAGAGCCTTCAGGTCAGTACATGAAAGGATTATTCTCTGATCCAAAAGCAGCAAAAATCAATCCATTGTCAAAGGGGAAAACTAAAATGAGACTTGATCTCCAGTATTAGACATTCTTTTCTGAATAAAAAGAAAAAGAATTGTGAAATCCTAAGCCTGTGATCTTACAGGTTAGTGAAGGACAGTGCCAGAATTTAGCTTCTTCAGTACAAAATGGATTACAGTTGTGCCACTTGAAACAGAGGCCTGGTCAGTTTAACTGTACTTGAAACCAATGATTGTGTATATTCTCTCGTTTTTGTTTTTTTTTTTGTTTTTTTTTTGTTTTTTTTTTTACTTTATTTATTTGACAGGTAGCATTACAGACAGTGAGAGAGAGAGAAAGAGAGAAAGGTCTTCCTTCCGTTGGTTCACTCTCCAAATGGCCAAAATGGCCGGGGCTGCGCTAATCTGAAGCCAGGAGCCAGGTGCTTCCACCTGGTCTTATTTGTGAAACAAGAATTGAAACCCTCCCTTTTCTCACCATTTCCCTAAGATACCAGTTTATTTTAGATGAAATTCTCAAAGCTGTTCTTCTTAAAATCAACTCTCATGTTCATGTGATATTAATACAAAGAGAACAGATTCAGTATGGCTCATGAATACAATCATAAAAATAAATATTTCCCTTCCTCTCTCCTCTTCCTCTTTCCTCTCTCTCTTTCTCTCTCTCTCCCTCTCTCTCCCCCTATAATTTACATTATAGTCAAAGGCTTATTGCTACACTAAGACATTTGTGTTCAACAACTAAAAAAAACAATAGTTCAGTAGGAACACAGACAAGGGTTATAAATGAAAAGATGTCTGTTCACTTAAGTACAATAAATTTTTTAAAGATTTATTTATTTTTTACAAAAAAGAGTTACACAGAGAGAAAAAGAGAGGCAGAGAGAGAGAGAGAGAGGGAGGGAGGGAGGGAGGGAGAGAGAAGTCTTCCATCTGCTAGTTCACGCCCCATTTGGCTGCAACGGCCGGAACTGCGCTGATCTGAAACCTGGAGCCAGGAGCTTCTGCTGGGTCTCCCACATGGGTGCAGGGGCCCAAGGACTTGGGCTATCGTCTACTGCTTTCCCAGGCCACAGCAGAGAGCTGGATCAGAAGTGGAGCAGCCAGGTCTCGAACCAGCGCCCGTAGGGGATGCCAGGACTGCAGGTGGCAGCTTTACCCGCTACACCACAGCACCGGACCCGAAGTACAATAACTTTTAAAATAATCACAGATTTTTAAAACTGCAGTATCTACATATTTAAGTACCACAAATAAGAGAAAACTTGACATTTTTCTTTTTGGGTCTGACTTATTTCATTTAGTATAATGATCTCCAGTTGCATCTGTTTTGTTGCAAATGTCAGGATTTCATTCATTTTTATGGCTGAGTAATGTTTCACTGTGTATATATATACCATGTTTTCTTTATCCATTCATCAGTTGGTAGACATCTAGGTTGGTTCCCTGTCTTAGCTGCTCTGAATTGAGCTGCTATAAACATGGGAGTCAGGTAACTCTTTGATATGCTGCTTTCATTTCCTTTGGAGGTATTCCCAGGAGTGGTACCCAGTTTCATAGTTCTGCATAGGATTCTGTTTTGAGAGTTGACAATGGAAACTGGTGGACTTATTCTTAAAAATAGTAATAGGCTTGCACCAAGCCTTTTTCTAGTTTCATAGTTGAAGATATCATATCTCTGAAGGAAATAATTCTAGACTGTTATTTTAAGTCATATTAGATATTTCAAAATTTTCATGGATTATAGAGTTAAAAGATGCTTTCATTTTGGTACAAAATTTTTTGAAATCCATCCATAGTATTTCCATAATATGCATTTTCTGTGAACTTCTTGAAGTACTCTTGTTCCTCCAGATTGAGAACCCAGAGAATGGAATGAAGCCAGCCCCTACAGCAAACACAAGATGGGAGATAAATTTGCATTGAAAGGGAGAGAGATGGGAGAGGTTAAAATCATTTAAGCAAAGTTAAAGGGGAGGGGGTGATAAGAACTAAAGCATTCCTATAAACCAGAACCCAAAATGTATGAAGAGATTTTATGCTAAGAAGGATGTTAACAAAATCAGTTATAAAAAAGGAGTTTGATCTAGGTGATGATTTAACTAGAAGATCTTACTAAAGCCAATAAAATTATATTGATAATACTAAATACTAGTAAGAGGAAGTTATGCTGTCATTAAAAAGGATCAGGAAATAATTAAATAAAATGGATATATAGGAAGCAAGAAAGACTGAATATGAAAGTAAATCAGTTATACAAAAATGAAAATGGTGCTTTAAAAGTAAAATAGGTGACAAATCTAAAGTACACTGTACAGTGCAAGATGAGATTTAAACAAATTAAATTAAAAGTAGGATAGATTAAGAGACTTCCATGTTAATCTACTTATAGTTGTAGGAAATGAAAACTGAGTAAAAGATGGAGAAAATAAATGGTGGAGTATCTTTGCATTGTGAAAATATTCCAAAAATGAAGAAAAATATGAGCTTCTGAAATGAAAATGAATTCTTAATATGAAGGAAGATAAAAGAAATTAAATTTACAGCCATATTCATTATGGTGGAACTAGAGAACATTAAAAATGAACAATCTTAACACAGACCAAAAGAAAAAAATTAACTACTTTCAAAGGAATGCCATCACACTGGTATCAAACTTCTCAACAGCATTAGATGCATGAAGACAGTATTTTCAAGATTTTGAGTGAAAATAGTATTCATTTTAGATTTATAGAACTGGGTTAATTGTATTTTAATGTGTAGGTAGAATAAAGACATTCAGACATAAAAAAGACGTAGTTTACATTCATAGACCTTTATAGGAAGAACAACTGAAGAATGCATTTGAGTGGGAAAGGCATTGTCCCACGGTCAGTTAAGATCTGCCTGAGACACTGTTTCCCATTCAGGATGCTCTACTTCCTATTCAGCTCCCTGCTAATGTGCCTGGGAAAGCAACAGAGTATTGCCCAAGTACTTGGGCCCCTGCCACTCATGTGGGAGAGCAGGATGGAGTTCCTTGTTCCTAGCTTCAGCTTGGCCCAACACTGATTGTTGCAGCCATTTGAGGAGTAAACCAGTAGATGGAAGATCTCTGCTTCTCTGTGTCTGTCTCTCCTTCCCTATTTGTAACTCTTTCCAGTGAATAAATCTTTGAATAAAAAAGGCACAGGAGCAAGAAGAGAACAAATTAAACACAGTAGAAGTATGGAAGGCAGAATTTAATAGCTTTCCCAAAATTGAAATACTTTAGAATGAATCTGAAAATTATACAGAATTTGTTTGCTTAAAATTATGAAATCCTGATTAAAAAAAGAAAGGAAAAAATTGTATAAATATTTTTAGAGATTGTGTTCATGGATCAGAACACAGCATAGTAAAATGTCAGTTGTCTCCAGTTTGATTTACAGGTTTATTGCTACTCCAACCAAAGTATAAGGAGAATTTTACAAGTATAAACAAGTGGATTCCAAAATTTATTTGGAGGCCCAAAGTGGTAAAATAACCAAAATGAGTGTGGTAGAGACAAATAAAATTGGGGAAATTACTTCCCTCAATTTTAAGACTTACTATAAAACTTCAGTAATCAAGATAGTATGGAATTGGTAAAGAGATAATTATGTAGATTAGCAGAGCAGAGTAGATATCATGAAATGGATTGCAGAAACAGAAGTTAAAGACTACCAAAATCTGTGATATACACAAATGCAGCTATTCTATTTTTACTGAGGTGAAAAAATTGATTCATTGAAGAATCTAAATGGTGTTGAAACCATTGAACATCCATATGCAAAATAATGAAACTGTGTAAACTTTATACCTCATTAAAATTAAAATAGCTGGCCGGCGCCGCGGCTCACTAGGCTAATCCTCCGCCTAGCGGCGCCAGCACACCAGGTTCTAGTCCCGGTCGGGGCGCCAGATTCTGTCCCGGTTGCCCCTCTTCCAGGCCAGCCCTCTGCTGTGGCCAGGGAGTGCAGTGGAGGATGGCCCAGGTGCTTGGGCCCTGCACCCCATGGGAGACCAGGAAAAGCACCTGGCTCCTGGCTCCTGCCATCGGATCAGCGCGGTGCGCCGGCCGCAGCGCGCCAGCCGCGGCGGCCATTGGAGGGTGAACCAACGGCAAAGGAAGACGTTTCTCTCTCTCTCTCTCACTGTCCACTCTGCCTGTCAAAAATAAAAAAAAAAAAATAGCTGATAGATGATGAAACTATTTAAGAAAGCAAGAGAAGTAATCATTAAAATTTACAATATTATTACTTTTGTGGAGATTGAGGAGTTTATAGCTGGAACAGAGCACACGGAAGGGTTTTTGGGATTCCTAGCAAAATCTCTTTCTTGAGTTGGTAGTCTCCTTTCCATTATGATCCCAGTTACATTCCATATGCTGTTGTTTCTAAAATCTAACATTCTGCAATCCCTTTTCATTGATATTTTTGTCTGTTTCACTTTAGAGATA